CGATGTGTTGAAGAAAAGGGAATATGGCGCTTAGAGTCAGATGATCTGTGTTTAATTATGCTCTGCAATTTTCCCGCTGAGTTGTTTACATTTCTATAGTTCAGTCTTCTCATCTGTAAAATGAAGACAACAAACATACTGCGTTTTGCTCTGGGTTGACCAACCATTCCAGTTTGCCTGGGACAGAGGGGTTTCATGGGGCATGGGACTTTCAATGCCGAAACAGGGCAAGTCCTAGGCAAACCAGGACAAGCTGGTCACCCTATTTGTTGTGAACATCAAAGTAGACAACAGTAAAAATCAGTGTCTAACATTTTGCACAGGCTCACTAAATAGTAACTTTCTCCCTACAAACACAGGCCTCCATCTATAGAATATATTGAGGCTCCTCTCACGTTTATCAGCACTGCACACTTCCCCTAGCCATGTCCGTTAATAGTGTTCCTATCTTATCAGTAAATGACAACAACGCGAACAAGTTGCAGAGCAACTACTCAACCACCTCTGCACACTGGCTCCGGCTCTGGCACTGGTGTGAAGTGAGAGCTCAGTCTGGTTTGGGTGCCCTGTCTGATATATCGTGTCTTTTGTCTGAGTCAGTGCACATGAAGCTGCAGAGTTCAGAAGGGCGATGTTTAAGCCCTTGGGTCGTTTTTCAAAATGTTCCCATTTGAAGTAACAAGATACTAGTGCTGAGGTAGATAAAACAATTTCTTTTCCCTCTATAGTGTTCATCTGTCCACTAATCTTCTTTTTACCACATTTAACCACAGAGGACAATATATTCTACAGTTCAATTTAGCTATTCGTGTAAAAGCGATGCATTTTCATGAAGCAAACACCACCATGTCTGACATCTGTGACCTGCAGACATCCATGCTGTTAACTCTCTCACTTTTGGACATGTTGCCCGTGTTCCCGTGGCTCCCCGGCATCTCTGACCAACGCGCATTTTTTATTAACCAAGGCAAAGCAGCAGAGAAATCCTTGGTGTCACTAACGTCCTGAGCTTCTTACCCTAATTTGCTTGTTTCTGATCAGGGAAAGACTTGAAGGCAGCTCGTGGTGGAGAGAGAGGTAAAATTACCGTTTTGTGTTTCAATTTAATTAGACAAAGGCTTACTGAAGATCCATTATTTGGAAGGTGAATGCTAAATGCTATGAAACACTAAACAATGAATAAAACACAATCCCTGCCATTATGAATAGCAGGGAAGACAAGCTTGAGAAAAATTAATACAAAGCAGGATGGCAGGAGTAGCAGATAAGATGGTGACATCCCGTCTATTTGCAGAGAGGGAGAAACAGGACGACCTCAGAGTGGGGACATGTGCCCTGCACCTCAGATTATGCACAGGGTTAAGATCACATATGGGAGAAGCAACATTATGGTAGATGCCCGATGGGAAAAGAGCTGGGCGTAGCCAATGAAAAAAGTTACATTTTTAACAAAATTTGTCAACATCAGGGGAGTAAGTGAAGTAGAAAATATGAACTGACAATGAGGCTGGGGTCAGAACCCAGACGTCTTCAATGACAAGGTTAGTGAATTTTAACTTTAGTCTGGGGGCACTGGAACAATAACAACACTTTTTAAACAGGAGGATGGCACAGTTAGCCCAGCTTTTAGAAGGAGAACCAGGAGA